TGTGTGTGTGTGTGTGTGTGTGTGTGTGTGTGACTGTCGCGTTCTCTCTCAACTCCTCAGGCACTCAACCTCACTCACTCACTCTCTCCCTCTCTGTTCCTTGGATAGCTCACTTTCACTTCCTGAATGCACTCGCCTGTCTCACCCTCGTAACTGCCCTAAAAGCTATGGCCGCCTTCTTCTTCCCGCTCAACCCTAGCTATGGTGCCCTCATAACTGTCTCCTTCCTCAACCTCTCTGACTCAGTCCAACCCTTGGTTGCACAAGCGTCAAGCAGAGCTTCTGCAACACACAAATCGCCAAGTGAAGTTGAATGGCACTGTAGCATCTATAAATAGCAGTGTCGGTCGATGTCTTCTGTCGGCTCTGCACCGGTGCCGGTCTCCCGGGCCTGTCAGCTGCAATTGCCAATCAGATTCCAGTCCAGGATTTACAAGGCCTCGCTTGAAGTTCCGGAACTTACCGGACTTTCCCAAGATGCTGCACAAAATTGGACTTTGGGAGTTGGACTTTTTCTGTCGGGTACCGGGCTTGATTTCTAACGACCTACGACTCTTCAGCTACCGGACTCCTACCAGACCTATAGGACCCGTGGGACTGGGGCCGATGAGAACCAGTGGGACTGGGACCAACTGGGGCCAACGGGGACCCTTGGACTGGGATCAACTGGGGCCAACCGGGACCCTTGGGACTGGGACCAACTGGGGCCAACCGGGACTCTTGGGACTGGGACCAATAGGGACCTGTGGGACTGGGACCAACTGGGACTCTGGGACCGGGACTTGGGTACTGACACAACATGAAATCCGTTCATCCAGTGCCAGCTGACAGCAAACTAGAAGCGGGGTCCAACTGACCAACCCCTTGGGTATTGGACTATTGGCTTCCAGGTTGTGCCAACTATCGCATATAGGGACTACTCTCTCGGCCATCTGCTATTCCCCACTGTTCTATTGGCTGCAGTCATGCACAGTACGTATTGCCAGATAGCACATAAGAGGGTCTGAGTGCAGAGTGCATCCTATTCGGCATTGAGAAAGCATCGTAGCATTGCATGTTATTCACCATTAAGATGGCATTATAGCACCTGCCATTGTGGACCTGGATGGAGGGAAAGATCAGTGCATGCTAAGCTATAGGGCGTACAAAGCTAGGACGTACATACCTAATAATAATAATAGCAAAAAGACTCGTTAAAGAGTCTTAAAGACCATAGATAGGCGCTTAGACAAACCAGTGGAGACAACAGGATGAAGGAAGATGAGCAGGGAATGAAAAACGAAAAAGAAGGGGAAAGGGAGCAAGTATAAAGTGCAAAAAGAGGTGGGAGAGAAAACACTTACGGAGAAAACATGGCTTAGGAAGGTAACAGAGATCAGGAAGCTCATAGTTGAAACCAGGAACTTCTTCTTCGAGCTCCCTTTTCCTTTCTCCTTTCTTTTCCTTTCTCCACCTCTGTTTTTCTCTCTCCATCTCTCTACATTCCTTCTTTCCTTCCATCCGAACTTCTTCGATTACTTTTTTCCTCTTGTCCTTTCTCTCTCCCTCCTTTCCTTCTCTCCGTCCCTCTTTCTTCCATTCTGTCCCCTTCTTTGTCCTGCGATTCCATTTGTTTTTCCCTTCCTATTTCCCTCCCTTGCTCTCTCTCTCTCTCTCTCTCTCTCTCTCTCTCTCTCTCTCTCTCTCTCTC